AGACAATTGTTCCTTTGAAATCTTTAAATTTTATTATATTTTAATTTTTTTTTATATTTTTTATTGATAATATATTTTTGTCTCTAAAAATTTTATAAAATCACTCTCTTTTAAAATTGTATAAATTATCCCTTCTAATATAAAGTTAGATGTTTGTCTATGACATAAGCAAAAGTGTTATAAGGATAACATCTCCTTCTTAAAAGGTAATATTGATAGTATTCAGGGGCTGTTTGGTTCAACTCATATAAGATTACCCGGGGAATGGAATTCACATTCTCCCGTTTGATTGGCCAGTAATCTCATTTCTGGTAATATTTTATTATCAACAGTAGATTTTTTAAGATATATTATCGAGAATGTCATTACCTCCCTTCCCTTAGGTATTGTTGGATTTCCGGCGTTTTGGACTATAATGTCCTTAATTTTTTTTCTTCAAAAATATCTTTCTTCTGTCATTGAATAATAAAATTTTTACGAATGTTAAATTACAAATTTATCCTTAAACTATTTTAGATTTACAAAAAAATTCTATAATTAAAATTTTATATGAAATTAAAGGGTTAAAATAAAATTTTACCATTTCATTAAACCTTTTTATATTTTTAATTTTGTAAAAAAATTATATAAATTTTGCGAACTTAAATTTTTTAAAGAAAATATATAAATATCTTATAGTAATATTATAGTAGAATTCAACTTGTTAAAAAATAAATATATAATAAGGACAATTTGGTCAAATATACATTTCAATAATCTTTTATTTCTTTAACCAAACACGGTAATCTTACATTCCTACTAAACCAACCGAACACAAAATACAACATTCTCAGTAATCATATTCCCTGATAATCTTTTATTCTCACTGGTAATCTTACATTTTGTGAACCAAACACACAATCAAGAGTATCTCTATAAGGATCCAAACCTTTATCATAAGAGACGCTTGGGGTCATAAAAGGTAATATTATTTGTAGGAATAGAATTTTTGGATGTAATATTATTTGGAGAATATTACATTATCTTTATCGAACCGGTCTTTAGGTTTGATAATTTTTTGAAAATACATGTGTTTAAATTTCTTTGGAAAATCCTATTTTAAAATATGATAAAATTATCATCGATCATTTGAAGTTATATACGATTGAACATCTACAAAATTATTTTTTAAAAGAAAGTTTTAGAAAACCTCTTTTTAAATATAAAATTTTAAATGAGTCATCCCTCGTTCTTACGAGCCTTAACGAAGTCAAACTTAACTTTCCAAGATAGGTAGGGTATTGATACCTGGCTGGAGGTGTCGATATTCACCCTATGGTATCAATACTTTTAATCAGTATTGATATTAGCAAATATTTTGATGCCCCTTGGTATCAGTATCGATACTACACTTATATTTGCTCATATTTCTTCATCAATTCATATGATATTGGTATTGTTCTTCCAAGATCGATATCTAAAGCCATAAATGACATACTTTAGGCTTGAGAATCACTGTAAAACACTTCCAAACACTCTAATTTAACTCTCAAATTTATCCCGAAAGCTTAAGGGAGATATTAGAGTCATCTAATGCCATAAAAGCACATGCTTGACAATCAAAACATCATCTAAGCCATAAATTATGCAATATCACTCAACATGCTTCAAAGCTCAAAGAATCACATTTATAGAAATTATAACATCGTAAAAGATTATAAATACACTACAATCTACATTAATGTTAGAATCCTGAAATCAAGTTTCTTTTTCAATTGCACTTACTTTCTCCTTCTCCTTCTCCTTGGATAGTTGGTTTCTCTTCAAGCATTTTCACTAGCTAAAAAGAGATGCAAGAGTTATGAATCACCAAAAATGTTGTAGACGAGGGCTATAGGACAAATTAAAAGTTAAATAGAGACATGGAAGAAGTTTTTATCACCACCTTTGATCTATGGATTTGAAGAGAAATAGAGGAAGAAGAAAGAGAATGATGAAAGTGCTCCACTTTTCATCAAAACCCACTCCCAACATCAAATAAAATCTCAATTGTAACCTCTTTTTCTTTGGTGGTCTATTTGCATTTTTGGTTCTTTCTAATTTGTGTTTCATGTAAAGATTTCATTTTTATGGTTAATTGGAACCAATTTGCATCCAATTAATCCTAAATTCGGCCCAACGTCTCCAATCACTAACCACCACACGGTTCAAATATTTCTCGAGACAACCCTAATACGTTGACTTAAAATTTTGGAACATTACATCTCAAATTTATATTATTTTAATTTTCTCGTCCTAAAATTTCCCTAAAAAGATACATTCCTTCAAAAATGTAATATAATCTTACTAAGATTTATATTAGTTATATATGTGATTGCTAATTGGAGGAGGAGGTAACATTTGAATTCTAATAAAACAGGGGTTACTATCACTAAATCATTAGAATTTTTTTTATAATATTTAAAACTTTTATTAAATTAAATGAGATAATTTTAGGACGCATGGTAGGAGGTTAAATAACATAATAAATTATGAAGTTATTAAAATTTTTCCAAAATGTAACTCATAATTTTTAAAAGAGAAAATCGCCTCAGTGACCAAAAATACCTTATAATATACGATTTTAACCAACTTTTTTTGGATTTGCCAAAATGACCAATAAAATCGCAACGCGATATCAAAATCGCAATGCGATTTAGAAAATCGCAACGTTAAAAAGAAAATCGCAACGGTCAAAAGAAAATCGCAACGCGAGCTTCCAAGTTCGCAACGCGATTTAGAAGAAAATCGCAATGCGATTGAAAGAATCGCAATGCGATTTATAGAATCGCAATGCGATTGAGAGAGTCGCAACGTGATTTAGAAGAAAATCGCAATGCGACTGAGAGAATCGCAATGCGACTGAGAGAATCGCAATGCGATTTATAGAATCGCAATGCGATTGAGAGAATCGCAACGCGATTTAGAAAATCGCAACGTTAAAAAGAAAATCGCAACGTTAAAAAGAAAATCGCAATGCGACTGAGAGAATCGCAATGCGATTTATAGAATCGCAATGCGATTTAGAAAATCGCAACGTTAAAAAGAAAATCGCAACGGTCAAAAGAATAGTTAAAAAAATTTTGTTTCTTAAGAATTTTCTCTAAAAAGATAGTATCCGCGCGGACGTGTCGAAGACACGTATTACCACGACCACGACCACGACCACGACCACGACCACGACCACGACCACGACCCGACCCGAGACGAGACGGCGGCGGCGGCGCGCGAGAGTCCCCCTTGTCCTCTTTCACTCAACAAGGAAGTGCAAAATACAAGCCTTAAATATAATTCCTAATAGTGTTTCCAATACTATGTGGGATTGAGCATTACCAACACTTGTTCCCAATATCATTATTCTTCATAAGTTATCATCCATTACAATATGAATTATCGATAATAAATTAATTCATTTTAATAAGTATTTAAAATTATAACTTGATAAATACATGAAATAATTCTATTATTAAATAAAAATATATTTTTATATTAAAATTATTGAGATAGATATTACTATAAAAGTAAAAGATTTTTTTTCACGTACAACCTCTATGTGAATTAGTTTCATAATAAGGTATCGGTTATGCATTGGATTCTTTCGTATTAGATGGTCTTTAATAAGATCATCATCATCATTCTTTTGTTCAACAATACCATATTAATGAGGTATATTGGTTCATTAACACGACTAATTCATATTGTAATGGATGATAACTTATGAAGAATAATGATATTTGGAACAAGTGTTGGTAATGCTCAATCCCACATAGTATTGGAAATACTATTGGGAATGGTATTTAAGGCTTGTATTTTGCACTTCCTTGTTGAGTGAAAGAGGACAAGGGGGACTCTCGCGCGCCGCCGCCGCCGCCGTCTCGTCTCGGGTCGGGTCGGGTCGGTCGGTCGGTCGTGGTCGTGGTCGTGGTCGTGGTCGTGGTCGTGGTCGTGGTCGTGGTCGTGGTCGTGGTCGTGGTCGTGGTCGTGGTCGTGGTCGTGGTCGTGGTCGTGGGTCGTGGTCGTGGTCGTGGTCGTGGTCGTGGTCGTGGTAATACGTGTCTTCGACACGTCCGCGCGGATACTATCTTTTTAGAGAAAATTCTTAAGAAACAAAATTTTTTTAACTATTCTTTTGACCGTTGCGATTTTCTAAATCGCGTTGCGATTCTCTCAATCGCATTGCGATTCTCTCAGTCGCATTGCGATTTTCTTCTAAAACGCGTTGCGACTCTCTCAATCGCATTGCGATTCTATAAATCGCATTGCGATTCTATCAATCGCATTGCGATTCTATAAATCGCATTGCGATTCTCTTCTAAATCGCGTTGCGAACTTGGAAGCTCGCGTTGCGATTTTCTTTTGACCGTTGCGATTTTCTTTTTAACGTTGCGATTTTCTAAATCGCGTTGCGATTTTGATATCGCGTTGCGATTTTATTGGTCATTTTGGCAAATCCAAAAAAATTTGGTTAAAATCGTATATTATAAGGTATTTTTGGTCACTGAGGCGATTTTCTCTTTTTAAAAGGGTATTTTTTTATCTTCCGGTTCCTATTATTTTATTTTGACTAATTTAGAATGATTCGTGTTAATTGTGGAACAGTCTCTCAACATATCATTTTAAATAATAATAATAATAATAATAAATAAAAGGAGAGTTCAAGTTGGAGCTCAGCAGACGCGCCCCCTATCTAACTCCCACTCCCAACCGGCAACCATACCAAGCATTAATATTGCTGAAAACAATACAGCTGTTCCCGATTCAAAGCAGGGAAATGACTACACGTTGAAGAACTCGGTCATGATTGGCGACACCGCCGATCCTTGGTGGCAACTTCCAGTCAAAAGCTACGCCACAGTAGTCTACTTCATTAAGAGACTTAACTGTATTTTTTGTCTGCAATCCATCTTTTCTTTGGGGCTATAAATAAGCCTGCATTCCCAAGTTCCACAATTCTCATTCTCCATTACTCTCTACCGGTTTCCAGTCCCTCAAGAGAACTTAGCATTTCCTTGATCCGTAAGCAAAAGAACACAGTCAAAAGATGGTTGCACCTCTGTCAGCTTGGCCGTGGGAGAACTTGGGGGTTTTCAAGGTACCAAAATCTTCCATCCTGGTGGTACTTTGTTCACAATTTTTGTTTACAGATGTAATGTGTTTGCTTATACTTGTTTCTTCTCTTGTTTTTTGTGTACCGAAGTACTTGCTATGTGGTCCTTTAGTGGCGAAAGTTCTCCATTCATGGATCTATGAGGGTACCATTAAGGATCTCTGGTGTCTCCACATACTCCTTATCTGTGCTTTGAGAGGATTAATCCATCAGCTATGGAGTTCTTACAGTAACATGCTTTTCCTAACTCGGAATCGTCGGATTATTCAGCAAGGAGTTGATTTCAAGCAGATTGACAGAGAATGGGACTGGTAATACATATATGATCATGAAAATCTATAGGACAGTATATGATTATATGGTTTAACTAACCTTTTTTTTAATTTAACATTTCAGGGACAATTTCATAATCCTTCAAGCTCTGTTAGCTTCCGTGGCCTGCTTGATCTTCCCATCCTTGGATGACCTTCCTCTATGGAACTTAAAAGGGTTACTTCTTTACTGATACTACATGTTACCGTATCGGAGCCCTTGTATTATTGGGCACATAGGTTTCTTCATGGAAGCTACCTTTTCACCCATTATCATTCACTTCATCATTCATCTCCTGTTCCCCATCCTTTTACTGGTAAAAAATCACTCACCTAAAGTTACCACATCTTTTTTTATTTGATCTGTACATGTATATTGAGTTTCAAAATTCTTGGTGGTGCAGCTGGTCATGCAACGTTCTTAGAGCACCTTATACTATGTATCGTGATCGGAATCCCGACAGCGGGATCGATTCTGATGGGGTATGGATCGATAACGATGATCTACGGCTACGTTTCAATGTTTGATTTTCTGAGATGCTTGGGGCATTCCAATGTTGAATTTGTTCCACATGAAATGTTCAACAAGTTACCTCTCCTCAGATACTTACTCTATACCCCAACGTAAGCCGTGACCAATGCAATTAATGTGAATTTTGATTTGCCTACCAGTTTTTACCCTTTTCTTTCTCTTTATCTTTTAGATAGTACCCTATTCAATTTTTAGACCTGGAAATTAGAGATAAAGTTTATGGGTGACAGATAGAGATAAAGTTTGACAGAACTTGCAAGCTCCAATTAATGGAGATGGAAAGCTCATTTTGGACTTTCCCTCTTGGGAGTAAGTTTAGTTCCAATGGAGTTAATTAGATGATGGGTTTGTGCTTAGAAGATAGTATCTATTCAAAACTTATTTTTAATCATTAATATTATATACCCGTAAACGGGTTGTTCAAACTCGGATCATTTAGTGAAAAAAATATTTTCATTTTACTACTGATATTCCCAAGGGTGTATTGAATAAGGTATTTACTGCCTAATCTTGAATAGAAGCTTATGTGGTACTTTCATATTAAATTTGTCAGGTACCATAGCTTGCACCACACCGAGATGGGGACCAACTTTTGTCTCTTCATGCCATTGTTTGATGCTATGGGGAATACACTTAACCGCAACTCATGGCAGCTACACAAGAGAATCAGTTCGGATTCAGCAAAGAATGGGAGGGTACCGGATTTCGTGTTCCTAGCACACGGCGTCGACATAACATCGTCGATGCATGCCCCGTTCGTTTTCCGATCATTCTCGTCCTTACCGTTCACAACGAGGATCGTTCTATTGCCTCTTTGGCCTCTAGCATTTGTGATCATGCTAGCGATGTGGGGTTGGTCTAAGGGCTTCCTCGTCTCCTTCTACAATCTTAGAGGCTATTTGCACCAGACTTGGGCAGTTCCTAGAGTCGGCTTTCAGGTTCCCATTTGTGTTTAAAATTGCAAAACAAAAAAAAAAGTTTGGCAGAATTTTATTATATAGGAAAGCCGATTAATCACCTAAAGAAAAACCATGTTTTTGCAGTATTTCTTGCCATTTGCAAAGGAAGGTATCAACAAGCACATAGAGGAGGCCATTCTAAGGGCTGATAGGATAGGGGTGAAGGTTATCAGCCTTGCTGCATTAAATAAGGTCGGTCTTTTTCTTTATTTAAATATGTGTACTTCTCTCTTTTACTAAACCATCCTCTAATTTAGGATAAATTACAAAATTCAGTATTCCACTTGTTTCACTCTTATTTTGGTCACTAAAGTTTAAAATGTTTCAATTTAGTCATTAACTTTCAATTTGCTCCTATTTTAGTCATTCAGGGGTTAACTCGTAAAAGAAAGGGTGACATGGCAAATACATATGCTAATATGGACTATTTTATTAATATGAAATTCATGTGTCGTCCACGTCATTTTTCTTTCTTTTTTTATTTGTTCTTCCTCCAAAAATGAAAGTTTTATAGTTTCATCTCCGCTTCACACTAATATTGTAATGATCATTCTACACTTTTTTTCCAATCACTCAGAGATATAAAAGAACTAGTTTCATTGTCTCTTGTCACTCTATCACTTTAGATTTTAGCAAAGTCACTTTAAAACTCATAAAACTTAACCTTAAGACCAAAATTTATAAAACTTTAAACCATTTTAATCTATAATATTCATCATCCGATCAGTATGGAATCAAGATATAACTTGCGTCCTCATTTTTCACCTGTCTATCGTTGGGATTTGGAAGAAGATGTTCACCATCTAGAAATCAAAGGGAATCTAAAACTAGAAATATTTTCACACAAAAAATGAAGAAAGTTTTTGGATCATTTCATAATTTTTAAAAGAAAAATGTCAAGTTATAATGTCGAATGACCAAAATAAGAGTAAATTAAAAAATTTAAATTTTAGTGACCAAAATAAAAATAAGAAGAAAATTGAGTGATAAACTTTTAAATTTATAACCTACACTATTTTTTTTTAGAAAAATGTTAAATATATATAGTGGTAGTTAGGAGAAATAAATATGAGAAATGAATCAAACCCATCTCCTTCATTTATAACCCTTGTGGGCCTTTCCCTTAGCTGCTTAATTTCTTAACACATCTTCCTGCTGGAAGTCTAAAACACTCGATTCAAAACAATGTTGGTAATGTGTGCAGAATGAAGCTCTTAATGGAGGAGGAACACTCTTCGTCGAAAAGCATCCGGAGCTTAAAGTGAGAGTTGTCCATGGCAATACCTTAACGGCTGCTGTTATTCTGAACGAAATTCCCAAAGATGTGAAGGAAGTGTTTTTAACAGGAGCCACTTCCAAGCTCGGCAGAGCCATTGCCCTTTACCTTTGTCGTCGGCGAGTGCGCGTTCTCGTAAGTCTTCTAACCACATTGCATCCTTTATTTGGAGCTAATGGAAATTGATTGCTTATGACTTTGGACATAATGGTGCAGATGTTGACAATGTCAACCGAAAGGTTCCAGAAAATACAAAGAGAAGCCCCTGTGGATTGCCAAAGCTACCTTGTCCAGGTGACAAAATACCAGGCTGCTCAGAATTGCAAGGTAAATGATATGCAACTGCCAGTCTCAACTCATTAACTTTGTGAAAACGATTGAGTAATTGTTGTTTATGTAATAGACATGGATCGTGGGCAAGTGGATAACTCCGAGGGAACAAAGCTGGGCTCCATCGGGTACGCATTTTCATCAATTTGTGGTGCCACCCATTTTGGCATTCAGAAGAAACTGCACCTACGGTGACCTGGCTGCCATGAGATTGCCCCATGATGTTGAAGGGCTTGGAAGCTGTGAGGTGACCAATCTTCTCTTTAATAACATGCTTTTCTTTAATATACATGCAATGGGATTCGACCAAAACCAGCTTCATTTTGTCTCAAACATGATTATTGGCTAACTGTTGTAAGTATTGGTGGATGTTGGGGACAGTACACGATGGAAAGAGGAGTGGTGCATGCATGCCATGCAGGAGGCGTGGTTCATCAGCTACAAGGGTGGACCCATCATGAAGTTGGGGCAATTGATGTCGATAGGATCGATCTTGTATGGGAAGCAGCTATGAAGCATGGGTTAAGGCCAGTGTCAAGTGGCTAAACAAGCCCAAAAAAAAATGCCACGAAGGAAGCTTCAAAACAAAGAAAATGAAAACATTAATTTTAATGCCAATTTTTCTTAGGATTCTCAAAAAATGTTATAGATTGATATAAGGGAATACGAATTATTATCATCCTTTGATTTGTTTATACTTTTATGTATACATTCGTCTTGTTTATTTAAAATATCTTACAATCTTTAAATACTGTCACGAAAATGTGAGAGACATTAATTCCATATCAGAAAGGAAAAAGAAATTTATGGAGTTTATAAACAGTGACGTTGCATATCTGATAATATCTTATCAGATGTGTTTTTGAGAAAAGGATAATGACTAGCGACATTTGATATCAAAACTAATGTGACGATATTGAGTGGGGTGAGAAAAGAATAATGACTAGCGACATTTGATATCAAAACGAATGTGACGAGATTGAGTGGGGTGGAATGTCACCCTTTGGAGAGATGATTTTTTATTAATAGGTTTGAGAGAGAGATTACCCGATGATTTTTTATTAATAGGTTGGAGTGATCCCAGATTGCACTATTAATTGCACTATTAATTGTACATATTTGAAATTTTGACACTTATCATCGTTGAAACCAACCTTTTTATCGTCTTAATAATAAAAATGAATATTATTTTTCTTAAAAGCTTTGAGTCCGAACAGTTGTGTTAATAGGACGTGTACGACTTGTCAATAGATTAAAAAGAATTCGAACAGATACTACCTTGTAGACTTAGAGTCATTCCAAATTTTTAAAAGTAAGCTCATTCAAATCAATTAAAGTTTTAAAATTAAAAAAAATTATAAATAAGAGATAATATCATATCTCTTACATGTAGTTTGATAAAATAATTATTATGATATATGCATTTATAAAGCGTCAAATTTCATATATGTAATTTGAAAAGATAATAAATATGATATTTGAATTAACATTTTATGTGTATTATTTAAGTATATGTGAATTTTCATTTATTGATACATGCATCATAATAATACATAAAATGATAATTCATGTATGGTATCAAATATTTTGAAAAACATTCTCTAAAAAAATATATTATTTTATTGAAGACATAATGTCTAAATTAATTTCCAATGCTTGTTTAAATGATTATTTTGGTCCTTATTTTTTGAGTGTTTTAGCCCTTAATTTTTGTGTGTCAAAATGGCCCTTGTTAAATGAAAATAATTAATTGATTAACAATCAATGAACGTTGGCGTAATATTTTCACATGTGTTAAACTATCGACATAATATATATTATACCACCTAAGATGATGATGTGACATATATTACATCATCAAAATAATAAGTTTATTTTTTAAAAATTCTGTAAGTTAATATATATAACGTAAACTATTACGTCCACCATGTATGATGGGTCACTTGTGTTTACCTAGAAGAGAGGACAGTGGTAGCATTTGGCCCTTCCCACTTGATTAATATACAAACAAATAAATAAGGTACCAAACTACGAGATTGGAATAGAAGGGTCTGTCCAAAGAATGGGACCAGAAAAGAAAGAAACAATACAAAGCTAACTATTTCATAAATAAAATAATCCAAATAGAAGAAAATAGGCAAAATAATTATGATTTTTTTTCTTCTCATTCATACATAGGATTTTACTGATTTTTCCTTAAAAAATGGGGCATGCATTGGGTTTGATGCATCATCAAGTCAACCCTCAACAAGAGCCTTGTAATTGACGAAATCGTGAACGAAAGTCTCCTTTTTTTAACCTTATGCACATCGAAAAGTTTAGGGAAAATTACACCCAAGGTCACTTAATTATAGTTTTGATAATAGACATCATTTTCGTCTACAAGGTTATAAGGCACTTAATTGAAATATTTTAAAATTTATATATATTCTATTAATTTTCCTAATTCAAAACAATTCAATAAATTTAAAAATTCCATCAATTTACTTTTTTTCTTACGATACTGTCAAACCAACTAAATTTACCAGATCAAAACAATAGTTGGATAATTATATTCTACCATAAAATAATAACAAGTTATTGTCTATTTTTATATTAAGAAAGTAAAATAACATATTGTGGAGAAGAACAAACAATTTAAGAGAATAACAAAAAACTAAAATAATAAAAATTTTAAATATGAATTGTTAAATTTGTTAAATTATTTTAAATTAAGACTAAAATGATAAAATGTATAAATTTTAAGGATTAAAACTATTACTATACCAAGTCATGTCATTATTCCGTCTAATATTTAATAAGAGAATAACATGTCTATAACAAAATTTTAATTAAGTGACCTATTTGTAACTTCTAGGAAACAAAGTGATATGTATGTTGCCAAAACTATAATTAAGTGACATTGGGTATAATTTATCCAAACGTTTATAACTTTGCAGAATTTACGCAAATGGGATATGGTATCATTTATTTTCTCCATTAATATCATATTCAACTCTTCTCTCTCTCTCTTCCATCTCTTCCTTTTGACTTGAAGCTGGGATGGTGTTTTTCTGGTAATCTCAAATGGGATTTTTGCAAGCAAATGATTCAAGTTTAAAGTTTCAGTTTTGGTAGATTGTGTCCAGAAACAACAATGGAGTTGATCTTCCATGAAATGAAGGAAAGAAGTTTGCTTTCTCCATCGGAGCAACCGTATTACCTCCCACAATCACCAATCCCTTTACTGCCTCCACCACAAAACTTGAACTCCGATAGTTTCAACTTGAACAACAAGGTCAGTCCGAGCATATTACTCATTATCATAATCCTAGCCATCATATTCATCGTCTCCGGTTTGCTTCATCTCTTGGTTAGATTTCTCATGAGACCTCCTAATAGAGAGCCAGAAGATATAGACAACGTGACGGCTCTTCAAGGTCAGTTGCAACAACTGTTCCATCTCCATGATGCCGGTGTTGACCAATCTTTCATAGATACTCTCCCTGTGTTCCACTACAAAGCCATCATTGGGGTGAAGAATCCTTTTGATTGTGCTGTTTGCTTGTGTGAATTCGAGCTTGAAGACAAGCTCAGATTGCTTCCCAAATGCAGCCATGTATCGATACTTGGCTTTTGTCTAATTCAACCTGCCCTTTGTGTAGAGCTACTTTACTCCCTGATTTCTCTTTGAACAACACTTGTTCACCCATTGTTCTTGTGCTTGAATCTGGGACTGAGAGCTCGAGAGAGATTGTAAATGATAGAGAAGGAGTTCTGGGATGTGAAATCGTTGAAAACGATGATGTCAAGAACGAAACAGTGGTGGACTCTGGGGAAAAAGTTGTGCCTGTTAGGCTAGGAAAATTTAGGAACGTTGATGGCGGTGGTGGTGAAGGTAGTAATAATGGTAATGTTGATGATAGGAGGTGCTTTTCCATGGGGTCATTTGCTTATGTAATGGACGAGAATTCTCTGTTGCAAGTTCCGATAAGAACTCCGATGAAGAAACCATCGAGGAAGAAGAAGACTTCTTTGCCGTTGACACCCGGTCACCGTCCGGTGATTTCCGAATACGATTTCGATTCGCGTAGATTCGAAATCACGAGCAGTAGCAGTGACAACAACGGGAAGGCCATCGGTAAGAGCAAGAAAGAAAGCTTTTCGATATCGAAAATTTGGCTTCGGGGGAAGAAGGAGAAGCTGAATCTTACAGAGGGTTCATCATCAAGGAGGACCTTCTCATTTCGATTACCGGAACACCACCATGTTGGTGCTGCTAATGGTGGTGAAGTAGACTCCGGGCGGTGGGGAAATGGAGTGAATGAATTGGGTTTGGAAGAGGAAAACCAGAGCCGTTATAGCTTAGATTCAGAAGCTAAAACACCATCTTTTGCAAGGAGGACACTGCTCTGGCTAGCCGGGAGACAAAACAAGGTTGTTCACTCATCGTTTACACCAAACATCTAGCTTCTTTTTCATTTTCATTTTCCTGGGAAAATCCTGTAGCTGGAAATTTGGTCACATTGAAAGAGATCTTTTTTCATTTTACTTGTCCAAATCGGGTTATCATTTTTGGTTGTTTCTGGGTTCAGATTCCAACTTCTTACAGAGCAAATTAAGCTTTACAGTTTACATACAGTTCTGGTATTGTTATTGGATTTGTTGCTGAGTTTGCTTGAGAACATGCAAGAACAAAATGAAGTTTTTTATTCATGAACATGGAATGTTCAAACATGAGACAATAAATGATGACGGTAAGTAAGAAGTGGGAAATCAAATTGAATTTGTGCTCTTTCGTTTTGCATTTAATTTGAAAGCGTAGTGACAGAAAATTGCCGTAAGGCTCGTGAGTCTTTGCATTTAATAGTCTTTTCTCTATCAATGGAGTTCTCAAGCAGCTTGAAATAAATTTAAATATATCTAAAATTCGATTTTTATTTATATAAAAAAAAATTGTTAAAAATTTTACTTAAAATTAGATGTGCAATAGATATATCTAATTACTCAAAACAAAATCTTAAAACTCAAAAAAGACAACAAAAGAATAGTCTTTCCTTTAAATAATAAATTACATATAAATTTATTACCTAGTATCTCACATAGAATAATAAATATAATCTCCATTGGTAAAATTCAACATCGTATAAGATATTGAAAGTAATTCCAAGAAATGGAAAAATAATTTGGGAGAAAAACAAAGATTAAATTGATATATTTTTTAAAGATGAAAATTTTAATTTATTAATATTTTTCGAATTAGGACTATATGGATAGAATGCATAATTTTTATAGACTAAAACTATTATTATATCGTGCTATGTTAGACTATCATTTTAAATTTAACAACCGAATAACTTATATATAAACAATATTTTAAATGAGTGATTAAACTATAACTTTACAAAATATAACTTATTTATAGCCGAATCAATAATTCAATGACCTGAGATGAAGTTTACCCATTTAAAAAAGGAAAAATATGCAAAAGATTTGCATTGATTAGAGGGAAACTAGACATTGATGGGGTGATGTCTACTAAGGTCACGGGAGCTATTGGGACACCCTTTTCCTAACATTATTTGTCCCACCTAACACCATTTACCACTGTATTTATGTGGACTCCATTCCTCTTCAACTTTAAATTTGACATCTCAACTTTTAACTTATTACATACTAATAACACACCAACTAAACGATTTTACTGGTAAAAATATAATTGTTATTTTTTTAAGTTCTGAATTCGAATATCTTATATACATAGGTATATGGACGTCTAATGTCAAGACTATTCATCATGGTCAACATTTTCTTCTCTCTAAATTCCTCCAAGAACCACCATTTTCAGGCCCCATCAAAAATAGTTTCATCTCCTTCATCTTCACATAATTGACCCTCCGATGCAACAACCATAACACCATCAATACCTTGCTCATCCACTCCAGCACAAATACCGTATTCTGCCGCACCATGCTGCTATTTCCATTACTCCCCACCATTGGATCCCATCGTTCATGACCATCATCAAGAAAATTCATAAAAACTTACCTCCACAATGTTATCGGGAATTAGAACCATGATCGTCTTTATTAAATGTTGATGAAAATAAATTTGATTCGTCAGCCGTTGACGATTCATCTTTTTTACAGATACAAATGTTAATTATCAGATTTAGTTGTCAAAATTACATCAGAGGCTGATGAATGGAAGATTCAGGTGACCATCGGACAGAAGTAATTCTTTGGGTGGCCTGACATTGTCGAACGTTTGGTTTGGTTGATATTCTGAATAGCTCTATTAGAGAGTCTTCTTATCTGTAAATTGCAGTATGCAGGTAGGAAAGTTTTTGAGTATCTCCAAGCTGTAATTTTGATCTTTGATGGGACTGGGACGTTTCATACATGGCCATAAAATGTCTGCAATAAAGTGTCTCAGGAAGTAGAGGAACCATCTAGTGATGGTTCGACCACCCCCACCAAATCAACACATTCGGTTGGGCTACGCTCGACAAAGGATCTGATGAGCATGATCAGCACCCAATATCAAGTGGATTACTGCCACCTTACAAGTATTAGAATCATAGTTAATGAGAGCTGATACTTTTGGTATAATTGATATTTATGGTGATATTACTCAACATTCCATTGCGCCATTTCATGGGTAGCCATACGTATCGGGATGGATCGAGAGAGTAGTTGGGTCAGTGGCCTCCATATAAAATTTAAATTATTATATATTTTAGATATTTTTTATATTTTTTTATTAATAATTTGTTTTACACCAACTAAAATTTTGTAATATTAGCACAAATCAAGTGAATTCTATGATAAAGGAATTGTTGTTGTTCATTGAGGACCTGGATTCGAGCACCATAGATATCATGGATGTGAGCGTTTAATGTCGAGTGGTTGAGAGATATCTTTGAACATATATTATCTTATATTTACTCTAGATTAATAAAAAAAATTAAAATATTGTGTCTATCCCTGTATGCATCACACCAAACATCGATTGACTCACCACAGCCAACCTAAGGGGCGGATCACGGGAAAAACTATAACTAGAACTAGAAAATGGGAGCAAAGTCCAAATGAAAGTAAAATGGGGGTTCAAATTGGTAAATATCCCAAAATATTAATAATATATATATTAATAAAAAATTGATAGGTAATATTAAATACTTATATTTCTTCTTTTATAAGTTGAATGATTTATGTGAGCTTCAAATGACCTCTTTAATTTTTATATGTATGAATTCTGAATAGATGGATATTCTCAAATCTTATCACATATCAAAATTTATTATTTCAATAAGTTTTATTAACTTTAAATTTTGTTAAAATAAAATTTTTATTTAAATAATAAATCACACATTTGATGATGACTCTGTTTATATTTTAAAATTTGTCCATCTGAAAAAAATTAAGTACGACACCATCGTAGTAACTAACGTTATAGTAACAAATATATCATTTTTAATATATATATATATATATATTAATTAAAATATTATTATAATATATCAATAACAGTTAAATATTATATTAGAACAATAGTGTGATCTAATATAATAATAATTTTAGTCCTTAAAATTTATATAATCTATTAATTTAATGTTAGTTAAAAATAATAATAAATTTAACACCTAGTATTTAAAATTTTCACCATTTTAATCTTTACTTTTTTTTATATAAAATTACGTGTTTTTCTCTTATAATTTTTATATTATTTTCTTGGTATAATATCACTTTAACGGTATTTGTTTTATGGTAGAATGTAATTATCTAACTATTGATTTGATTTTTGGGGCTTACTTTCTTTGATAGTATCAAATAAGAAAAAGAGATTAAATTGATTGAAAAATTAAATATAAAATGTTAAATTTATTGAATTGTTTCGAATTAATACAAAACTAATAGAATTTATAAGTCTTAGGAACTAAAGATACTATTGTACAATATCACATTAGACGTTTAATTTCAATTTTAATGACGAAATAATTTGTTTATAACGATATTTTAATTAAATAGTATATTTATAGCTTAAAAATATTATTATTAAAGCCGTAATTAAATGGCATTGAGTGTAGTTTACTCGTATTCTCTTATCTCTCCTTCAAAATTTATAACGCTTCTTTTTTCTCTCATTCTCTTAATTAATAATATATTTTATCAATAAAAAACTATTTGAGACGTAAACTTGAAAATTTTATATTTCTTAAATAAGATTAGAAATTTGAATTTTGATATTTACTTATACAGCAAACTGAATTAGAAGAAGCATTCTCATAGTGAACACTGGCGGAACATCATGAGGGTCAAGGAGAGCCTTGGTGCCCGCTAATTTTTTTAAAATATTAATTAATATTAAAAAATATATATTTTTAAAAAATAAATAAAGAAAAATTTATCAACCCCTCAATTAAAAAAATTGTATTTATAAAAAATAAAAAATATTTAAACTCCCGCCGTAATAAATTTCTAATTTCTAATATCTTTAAAGTTTGAATCGAAATAATCGATAAATAAATTAGATATTATAATTTAAATAAAAGAAAATTGTTGGAGATTCCAACTGCCCCCACAAGTGGCCCAGACAACAACACATCTTATATGTTCTCATAATGCCTAAACATGCTTCTTTACCACATAATTTGAGCTATGCTTTGTTTCTTATTCAATTTTCTAAGAGTACAAACCCAGTTTTGTATTCATCTGATTCTTGTCGGTGTGATTGCTAGCCACGTGTCAAACATGATGCTTTGCACGATACTATTTCCATGCTGCCTTTTTGGCATCCTAAGCCGTCTATCAAGGGATACTTAAACATGTTTATACATACTTTATTATATTATTTTATGTTTATTAATGGTTCAATGAAAAAAATAGGTGTTCAGATTATTATTATTTTTTTAACTTGAAGTGTTTAATGTATTTTTTTTCAAATTAGGCGTCTAACATTAAACATTTTAAGTGTCGAAATATAATTCGTTCAAGATACGCGTCTAACATTTTCAACATTATTCTTTTAAGTGTTTACGCCGTAACAACGTTAAAAAACCCGTTATCACAATACATATCAAATAATATTTTTTAATGATCGTTATCACATAAACGTTTAAAAGACTAGTATCGAAAACGTTGAACATATATTTTAAACAAAAACTATTTTAGATGCCTAAAGTTAGCAAAGTGTATAGTTTGAGCATTTATTTAAATAATATTATCAGTATTAATAGAAATGATGAGTAAACAAAATAAATAAAAATATATTTTTAAATATACTTATAGGTAGAATGATAAAAATATTGTATTTAGATCTCGTTAGGATGTGTAAAATCTTTAATGTTTGGAATTTTAAAAGAATGGTAAATTACTGAAAATATCACTGAACTTTAATATTTGTATTAAATTTACTATTGAACTTTTTTTTAACGCTGAATTTTAGTTTAGGCTCAAATTATATCACAAGGTTCTTAAGCCAACTCGATATTTTGAGATACAATCTGAACTCGATCCGACCCGACATGACTTAAAATAATAAAAAATATTATTTTTATTCAATAAAAATAGTGATTTAATTAAAAAAATAATATATAGAGGTGTATTATTATAATTATTTTTAAATATATAAGGTAAAATTATTTTTCCGGTCGGGTCGGATATTTTTAACCCTAAATTTGAACCCGACCCAATCAAAATATAACCTTTTAAAAGCTCGATCCAATCCCAATTTTTTTAAAATCCGACCCAATTTTAAAAATTGTAAATGCAGTCCAACAATCTATGTATAAACAATAAGACTACATGAGCTGACTTTCATATAAGTGGCAATGAAAAATAACCGAGAGATGGGAAAACCTCAAATTACTACCAAAGTTGACTGCCCAATTCCCCCAATCAATAATAATACCCAATCATAGGGGCACTCTTATTTATTTTTTAATTTATAAAATTTTATTATACATGTCAATTTGGTGGTTGAGGTTGCTGTCTTCATAAAAACATCTCCCAGTTTTTATGCCAAATTTCTGTTTCGGTTACATTTGATGCTCATCCCACTCTTCCACATTTAAGTACAAACGTGTCTTCCATTTGGTCGAATCCTTTTTTTTCTAAAAAAAAAAGAAGGAAAAAGGCTTCAACTTTGATCATCCGTTCCCTGAAAAAGATGTTATTTTGAACAGGGTGTTTCAAATTCCGATTCTTTAAGGAGTATGCGGAATTTGGTTTTGCTGATTTTGGTTCATCCTGATAAATTTGGAGATGGGTATTTGTTAGCGGCGATAATTTTATTTGAGGCGGCGGAGATTTTGAAGAATTTTAAATGTTTAACAGATAGGGATTTGACTGTGACTGATCGGAATCTTTAATTTCTTCTATCAATAGGAAGAAATTTGTAATTTAATGTTTGTTGGGTCTTCCTTGTAAAACACGAGGCAGTATGTTAATCCATAAAACAGTCACACCCTGATCCATCTTTTTTTCGTTCTTTTTTTCAAGTAGTTGCAGGCAAGGTTCTTCGGATATATTTTTGATGTGTTCATTGTTGTTGGTTTGAGGATTATGGTTTAGGGAAGATTTTGTCTTCCCCTCCATATTTGAAGGCATTGATATCAAAATTGTTGGCTTTGGTCATCGATGAGATTTCTAAGCATTGTGGGGAACTCCTTTGGATGTTCTGCATCTGGGGAACGCTTAGTTTCCGCAGCAAGAGATGGTGATCTTCAAGAAGCCAAGGCTTTATTGGAATGCAATCCAAGGCTTGCAAGGTATTCAACTTTCGGTGCTCGAAATTCGCCTCTCCATTACTCTGCTGCTCAAGGCCACCATGAGGTATTCAATTCCTTAATTTCAGCCTGCAATTGTATCTTGCAAATTAATTATATCGGTATTATTTTTTCAATCAGATAGTTTCACTGTTGCTCGAGTCTGGAGTCGATATCAATCTCAGAAACTATCGGGGTCAGGTAATTCTAATCCGGTTTTTCGTCACTTAAACACCAACTAATTATCAACAATGGGTTATATTGTTTGTTTTAATTGTGCCCAACAGACTGCTCTGATGCAAGCTTGCCAATATGGCCACTGGGAGGTTGTTCAGACTCTGATTCTTTTTGGGGCCAATGTAAGATTTCTACTTGCAAGTTTAGTTTCATGTATTGCAATAGATCTGTATAGCTTTCGAACTCGAGTGATATTGGATCATAACAAGTGAATTCTGTGCTGCGATGGTTGTTAGATTCACAAAGCAGATTATCTTAATGGGGGTACTGCACTTCACTTGGCGTCCTTGAATGGTCATTCCCGTTGCATGAGGCTCCTCCTTGCGGATTATATACCTAGCATCCCCGACTGTTGGAAGATATTGTCGAATAAATCAGACAATAAAGAATCTACTTCAGTTTTTGATGAAGGGTAAATTTATGTTTTTCCTCTTTATTATTTCTCATATCTATTTTTCTGTTTTCATTCATTTTCATTTCATATTTACCTTCCAGTGCTCTTCGCGAGGTCATTAATAAACCTGCTGATGGAGGTGTCACTGCTCTTCATATGGCAGCGTTGAATGGGCATGTTGAAAGTGTTCAGTTGCTCCTTGATTTGGGAGCTTCTGTTACTGAGGTCACTGTGGAAGATGGAACGACAATTGATCTAATAGGTATTCAGAATTTAAATGTGCTAGTTCGCAAGTCCTTGCTTGATTCACAGTCTATTGGTTTTGCAGCCATTTGTTATTGAGCAATAACAGAAAAAATGTATTTTTTTATCTGATTAATTTTGCATTGCACTTTTCTCATGCCTCAGTTTTCTATTTTCAATTATTGTTGTTCTTCAATTGTTCTTCCTTTTCCCCTTATTTTTGATTTCTGTCTTTAATGTTTTTGCAAGCTGCCAATGTTCATCTGAATTACAGTATTTAGGTGGATTCCCTTCTATTGGCAGTTCGGTACAATTCTACCTATCTGATAAGAAATTTTCCACAAATACTGGAAGTTCTTAGTTCCATATCCATAAATGGCTAAAACTTCCCCGTTCCCTATCATTTTTTGTTCATTGGTAAAGCCTTTACTATCCGGTCAGACACAAGGGCCTCTTTGGTGTTCATTTAGAATGTTAATGAAAAATTCAGATGCTGTTGAACTAGTATTGCTTCTCTCGTGCAATCCTAGTTTTTCTCCTTTTTTATCTCTTTTTATTAGCCCTGTTTTTCTCCTAAAACAATGGCGTCATAACGTTTGTTACCTTGCAGGTCCAGGGAGCACTGCTCTTCACTATGCTGCTTGTGGTGGAAATGCACAATGTTGTCAGGTATGTCTTTTGCTTTGTGCAGCATCGCAACCACCCAAATGCAGGGAAAAAAAGGAATGGGAAGAAACTAAATCATGTATCAATGTCACTCATGCTTTATTTAATATTTAAAATTTCCTATTTATAGTTTTGATGTATGATGCTTCAGATTTTGATAGCCAGGGGTGCCAATATTACTGCCACAAACGCAAATGGGTATGTTACTGTGAATCCTATTATGTTTAAATGCTATGCTTCATTGTTACTTTACCATTGGTATAAAAAAATCCTTTTTTCTTCTTTTTTTAGGTTTAAAATTTGAATTGTATCTTCTGCTAAAATGCTTTATTAACAATATGTTTTTGCATTTCAAAAGCATGAAGAGTTTATTTTTTGGATAATCCAAAAGCAAGAAGTTAGAATAAAAATTATAGTAAAAATGCTGCCTTGATAGAAGCGGTTAGTATAATGTCAAAGTCTATAAGCACACGATGGTATCTATTGCCATCTTGATTTACTTTGTACAAAGGCATAATGCCATATTTAATCTGACTTACAAGATATATTTTGTAATGTCTTAAAGTTTAACACTGTCATGTTGACTACATCATATCAACCATCGCATGGTGGAAAATTTTTCATATAATTTGGTGAAAAAATGGCAGTTCAGTCTCTACTGTGGTTAATGAAAAGGCAGAAATCATGTTAGAAAGTTAACCTTTATTACACACTAAGTAAGATGCCTGGATATCTCGTTATTATTTGCTGCTTCCTTAAACTCATTGAGACAACCATTATTATGTGGTTAATGAATTATCAGATGACTGATTCTTGTTTTTCAATTATTACCTCAAGATGGAGTCCTTTACTGGTCGCCCGTTCATGGCGTAAGAATTGGCTTGAGGAAATCCTTAGCAATGAGCCTGATGGCCAGTCACAAGCTCTTCCTTCACCCTTTCTGTCTCTTCCCCTTATGAGCATTATTAAAATTGCTAGGTGAGTGAAATCTGTTTATGCCGTTTCATCAGTTCTCTGAGCTATAGACTTTTGTTTAACGTTGTAGAGTATTTGTTTCACATCTGTATTTGTTGAACTATGAGCTTTTATCATATTTATAGGACTGCAATTTGTTAATACTTTAGCACGTTAGATTGGAGTTTGCAAACTTAGTTGGAAACAGAGATAAAACTGGACAGCGGGTCTTTTAGTGAGGTAGTAGGGAGGTTGATGCTTACTAATGGAAGCATGTAAGTGTTAGAGAAGAAACTCAAGAAGATAAACATTGTATCTATAGTCTAATACTAGCTCAAGGAAGTGCAGAATTGAGAAAACCGGTGACAGCCAACACGGGTGATCATCTTCTACTAGTATTAAGTTTCTCCATGATTCATTCAGAAATTATAAATTGGTTTTTAGATTCCATCTATAAGGTTAAGATATATGCAGTAGCTAACTCTTCACGTCTTGAAAACTTATCCTTCTGCTCCGAGGTTTTAAGTCATTGACTCTCGAATCAGCTTGAAATCTTCTAGGCTGTGATAAACTTCCAAATGGCTCTTACTTTGACTGAACCAAATTCGTTAGTAGAAGTTGTAGAACCAAATATTTTCGATCGTCAATTTTTACCTCATACTTTGAAGTGTCTTTCACTTAATTTATTTACTCCCTAGTCCTTGTCTGTTCCCCATTTTCCCTTTTAATTTTCAAGCCATTTAGAATCCAATGTCTCAACAACCAAACAAGATTCGTAGGAAGGTTTTAGCATATTCAAAGTGTTGATATATATCTTTAAACAGAAGAAGGATTAAATAGGTAAGAGGTAATTTGTAAAATTTTCGGTGTCGTACTATTTAATTGTTTTAGTCAGGAAAGAAATTGAATGGATAGATCCAAGATAATTCATAGACAAGTGGATGTACGTATGGACATGCATTTGTGAGTAAATGCAGGCAATAGTTAATAATTTATGAACATGATGGCTAGTGGATCTCTCCAACCATTTTTCTGCTAAAAGCTAAGCTTATCATATGAACTAAACCTTTTCACCCTACTTTGTCTTGTGAAGAGAATGTGGATGGAGGACTGATGATTCCTTGTTCTCATGCCAAGATCCTTGTGCTGTATGTCTGGATAGGCAGTGTACAGTAGCTGCAGAAGGTAACTTAATCGTTTCGTGCACACATCCTGCCAGATCATATTTATTTCGGTTTTAATCGCTTTGATCAATTTAGTCTATATGATTTTAATCGTGTTTGTCATTGATGTTTATGGGATCATGAGTTATATTGCAAATGGTGCAGGTTGTGATCATGAGTTCTGCATACAATGTGCCTTATACCTCTGTTCTACAAATAACACCACAAATGTAGCCAAAGGCCCAATTGGCTCAATTGCCTGTCCCCTTTGCCGTCACGGAATAGTATCATTTGTCAAGCTCCGAGGAACGAAACCAACGGTTAAGGCAGTTGCAAGAACTAGTCTGTCCCTATCTTTCTGCACATGTTCTAGTGAGATGCCGGAGCCAACTTCAATGACAACCCCGCTTTGCAAGCCAATGGTCCATTGCACACGAATTTCTCCTCCTGGATCGTCGTTCTGCAGCATAAGTCGTAACAGTTTCCCATCGATGAAAATCCAATCTAACCTCTGCATTGGAGCTCCGAATGCTAGTCCTTTAGTTCCCTGCCCCCCGGACCAGAATTTGCCAGGCTTAAGACGCTCGGCTTCGGAGGGCAGAAGGTCATGGTTCTCAACACTTAATCAATGTGTAACTACAGGCAATGCATGCTGATATTTTCTAGTGTTTTTCTCTTACATTCGTTTTTTTTTTTCTATCCAATGTGGTGGATTGCCCCCTCTAATTTTGCCCATAATTGCAAGTGAAACTTCATTTCGATAATGATTCCTGGTTGTGTAAATGCAAAGGACGTATTTTACCATTTGTTTTCAAATAAAGCCTCGGTTTAAAATGAAGCCTCGGTATCAAATCCCATTGAATTCAAGCAGTTGTATCTGTAGGGTATGTATGCATTTTCAACGGTTAAGAAAAACTATGAACATATATTATCTTGTAATCTCCTTCATCTATTCAAAGAAAATGAAATCTAGGTTTCAGCTTTGCGTTCACATGATTATCAGAATCTTTGATACTCCATTAGCATACTATACTTCTAACAAAATGAACAATATTTCTACATAATCAAGGACTTTGATGTTGCAATTTCCAATTTCTTAATGATTTCGCAAGGTTCTGGATGATGCAGCATTGCAGTGTTTTTGTAGCAATGATTTGCCATGTCTTCAGATGATTTTTTTGTTTAAATCTTGAATTGAAAACTTTAATCAATAATGCAAATAAAGATCTATAACTTTTAAGGGTTATTTCTCTAGGGATTTGACTAGAGTTGGTAAATTAATCGAGCTTGAACAAATAATGTTGTGTTCGTGTTTGTTTGTTTTTTTTAAAAAAGTTAATGATTGGTTCGTGTTCGTTTAAATTTTTTATATCGTGTTCATTTATTTTTTTTAAGATGTTTGTGATCAACTCATTTAGCGTTCGTAAACATGTTCGTCAAGATAGTGAAATTATGCTACTAGTCCTTAAGCTCCTTATTCGTATAAATGAGTTGATAAACGAATTTTTAAACCAGTTTATCCGTGAAAATAAACGAGAAAACATGTCTTTATTCGTGCTCATTCGTTTATAAAATGAACATAAAAATTGTGTTCATACTCGTTTATTTAGTTTAATAAACAGACATAAATGAACGAACAGTTCATGAACAGTTCATATAACGCTTTATTCATTTACACGTCTAGATTTAACCTTTGAGAACATTAAGATGAAATTTAATGTTTTTAAATATACTCAAGATAAAATATCAAAATTAACCCCGACGTTTATCAAAATACCCACTTTAATTGATATTTTTAGCTTACGATTCCTAACGGTATATCGCCAGGCACATAGTTTTATTCATCGGATAAAGTAAAACATAGGAAAATAAGAAGGAAACTCAGGAGAGAGGATATGTTGTTTAAAATATTCGATTAACATCATCTGATCTTGAAAAGCCCTTTGAGTAGAAGCATCAAACTCAAACCCTGAATGAAAGAAAAAGGCAAAAACGTGCAAATGATATTAAGGGTCTATCACCTTTGTACATGATACCTGAAACTTGTATGACAAGAGGTGGAGTAAAGAGTAGTCGGGGCATACTCGTTAAGTTCGACTAGGACTATACCGGCGTTGGGATCGGCAATGGTGGAGAAAGCATCTCGAGAAAGGTTAATGATCCCCTGGCATCGGGCTTTACAGTAGTCGACAACTTTAACCACCACAGTTTTACCATTCTTGCAAGGATGCAGTACTTGGTTCGCTCCTCCTATGCATTTAACTCTATACCTCTTGCCGCATGCTCTTCCCCTTTGCCACAACGCATCACTTACTCCAGCCACCATTATTCCATTCTTTTGGTTCCCATAGCTTGCCGAAGCTGTTAAATAATTCAATGATGAGTGATTGTGTCTAAACTACAACATCTACAAAATCAGTATAAAATATAATCCATTCAGTGTGTATATATATATACTCACGAAGATAAGGCGGCCCATAAAAAACAGCCTTCCCTTGAATGGCATGCACGATGGAGCTAAGACACAGCACCATTGTCACTGTCAGAGAAACTCTTTCACCCGTCACAAAAAGGGAGATTGATCTGATCTCTCCCTTGGTTTAGAATACAGTTGTTAGGGTTGCCAACACCTCGCATTTTATTGGTCCAAAATTTTACTGTTCATAGTCGTGTCTAGTGCTTCACCCAGACTTGGGACAGTTTATTCTTATCAGTGAGTCATAATTTCTTGCTTTCTCACATTCCCACTAACCTACTCTTCATTAAAAATTTCCACCCCATTTATTCACTTGTCTTTGCTATCCACTAATCCTTCCATCAAGGGAGACTAAGGATATACATGATGTTTGCATGATGGTGCCTTAACATTTGTACACTTGTGTAGGTCCTATTAGTAAAATTAACTACTGTAAAATATATTAATTATCAAAGGTAATGATTAAAATAATAATAATAGAAGAAAAATACATAATTATTGTGACATGGTAAAATTTACGTCATAAAAATAATAGAATTAATACATAGTAAAATGAGCAATTATTCTCTTAATAATGAATACATCTGGAACTTGTTAAAATAGGAGTAAACTCATATCACACGACTAATCTTTTCTCCAAATAAACTCCGCGATAGATCAACAAAATTAGCCTATAAACATCAAGATGTTGGTAAATGTTATAGAAATGTGACTCAAAGTCTTTCATAGAAGGTGGGTAGTTCTTCACTCTTACTTGCATGATTTTATCAAGTTTATCTCAATATAGACCACCCAAATCATGGATATGAATCATAGAAAGTCTTTAGTAAATTCAACCTCACAAATTTACATTAAATTTGTACAGAAACTAAAAAATTCAATTTGATTCAACTCGACTCGAATTTCCTAAACTCGACTCATAAAATTTTTAATTAAAGTTTGAATTTTAAAAATATACTCATCAACTCTAATAACTTAATTTTTTTTTATTCAATTGAACTTTATTCAATCAAATATTCGCCTCTAAATAGTATTTTGATAATTGATTTATAGATAGATGCATGTATGGGGGAAGACAATTTTATCCGATTCAATGGGCTCAAACCTTCACAAAACTCTTACCAACAAATAAAGAAGGTAGGCCTAGGAAAATATGGCCCCGATGCTTGGGGATACCCAATAACAAGGTTAAAGTTCAATCTCATATTAAAGATATAAGGCTAAATCACACGTTCGACTATATTGTAGGACTCTCTAGATACCTTTTAACACTGTTAATTTTTTTTCATCTTATTCACGTGAGGCAAAAAGTAATTGGTGAGGACTCGTCAAGCAGTCTCAATGATAAAATTTAATGTTGTTTTTCTTAAAAGCTCTATAATCAAATAATTATATATGTAAAATATGTATTATCGATTGATTAAAAAATTAAACAAATATTATTTTATGATCACCGTATATTAAAATAAGTAATTGATGATGTACATAGTGTATCTGTGGTGTTAATAAGGTATTTAATGATAGGAAATGAATGTAGTTCTGACAGAGCGTGTAGGGCAGGTGCAGGCGGCGATGGATGAAGGCGCAATTTGTTATCCAATTTGATACTTTACTTTAATTCAACAGGAAGATCTGATAGGGTGGTCCATGCCTCAAATTACATCAAACCATAACCTTTTCTAACTCATCTGCACCAATTAAAGTTTTTTATAGTTTCAAACTGCTCCTATTTCCCTATGCCTCTTTTCACAGTTCCACTTGCTTGTATTTAAGTTGGGATGATCCAATATTAGTTCAGTTGATACTTGTTATAACATTATCATGAGCTTGAGCTCTGAATTTAAAAAAAAATATTATTTTAGATAATATATTAGAGTTTGATCTGAGTTTGATCTTATTTAAATTGTTTAGAGAAAATAAGAAATTAAAAAGTCTATATTTTATGTTGATTGAGAATAGAAAATATAATTTGAGTAGGTTTTTTGTTATACAAATTTCTTTTGTAGTCAAGTAATTATCCTTATAGATAGATACTAGAAATTAAGGTTAGACATAACAACTTAACGTAGATTCCTCATGTATTCTTTTGTTTTTTATATTAGTGGAATTTCTCGTCTCTTGTCTATATTTTTATCCGAAAGAGTTTTTCACGTAAATTTTTTTATGTGCTTGCCCTTATACTTTAACATATTATAATTGAGTTAGGATCCATTTACACCTAGTTTAAGGTCAGTATGATATTATTTTTGAAAAATGATTTTAAAAATGCTATAAAAAATACTTTTAAAAGTATTTATGAAAAGTGTAATTTAAAATTTAATTGTTGGGATTTTCATTAAAAATAATTTTAAAAAGATAAAATGTTGAAAATATAATATTTGAAGATAAAAATATAATTTCACCCAAAAGTGATTTTCTACATCAAAAGCTAGAAATTTGAGCTTATGATGTTAGGTTAAAAATCATTTTTTCCACCAATGATTTTAAATTAAATTTTGGGTATTTAGCATTGCTTTTAGGGTGGAAAATCACTTTTTCATTGCTATAAGCAACACATTTATAATATCGTTAATGAGTAGAAATAGGCTACTGTGATTATTTTCTTATTTTTTTAATATATTATTTTCTCTTATTAATTTGGATCCTTTATTCTTATTCATCTAACAATCCTAAAAAATATAAAACTAAAATGTTTTATTAGATATAAACCGTTATTGTTTCATTATAATTTATATTAAAAATTGAGATAGTCAAATATCATATATGAATGAAACTTGTAATATTATAGTTTCTACGTGGTTGAAATCCATGAGATAAAAGAATCCGATGTTTACTTTGTAATTATAAAATCTCACAATGTTTCCTAAGATTCAAACAATTGGTAAAACCTTGACATTGTTGAAGTTGCAGGCAGCTTCCTAGGAAAGGACACAAAATTCAATATTTCAAACGATAACAAAAGGAATTTTTTTTCATTGTTTAAGATGATTATATGATAGTATTCGTTTATAATATTTTTTAATTTTTATTAATATATATGTTATACAATCGTAATTATTCGAATTTAAAAATTCAAAAGAGAATAATATTCTTTTAATCACTTAAATCACTCAATAAATTTAAGTATCGGATAATTTTAAAATAAAATAACTTATTTGCTTATTAAAAAAAAGAAAGAAAAGTGTGGTGGTGGGAATACAGAAAACAAACCCTAAATAACAAATAATAAAATCAAAGTTGATGTGAAAGAAGGACTCATTCTCTACACAACTCTTTGAAAAGCAGCCGAAAACGCGGAAAATGACAATGTCCAAGCAAACCCTCTTTTCTCCGGAAAAATCTTGGCGGGCTCAGGTCATTTTCGTACTAGATCATGTATATCCTCTTAGGTTTTTATTATTATATATTTTCTAAAAAAAGTTACAATAATAAAAAAATCAAAAATAATTTATAATAATTAGTTAATATATCGGGATAAGATACTAAATCATTTAAATAAAATTGAAAATTTAAATCCTAATATTTTGAATCAAATAAACCGAGCTGAAAATATCAATCTATAAATATATATCTATAATATTTGATCTAGATTAATTAATTAACATATTAAATATTGATGATTAAAAAGAAAATCAATCAAAAGAGAGTAAGTATATTTGAACGATTGATCAAGTTGATCATATATGTTCTCTCACATTATCTTAAGTCGTGAGTTTTAGACTCGTTATGAGTACCCTCTTTCCTTCTCCTAAATTCTCTCTTCCTCTTCCTTTATAAATAACATTAGATTTAGAATTTATAATAAAAATATATATAATTAAAGGAGCAATATGTCAAACATTCCAACCTGTCGTCAACTGATTGGTTGCAACACCTTGACCAACGTTACGTGAAGGATAAAGTGATATTTGGAGCGTTTCATATGTTATTTATTCACTATTCAAATAACGTTGATATAAGGTTACATTATTAGGTTTTCTTTCCTCCTTTAATCATTATAATATACACTCTAAAAATATAATTATTTAAATTTAAATCGAGTTTAATAGGTAGAATAACATTTTTTTACAAATGACACGACTCAATAAATTATTCTTTAATTTATAACATCTTAAATAAAATATTATCTTTTTATCATTTATTTTGTAATAACATAAAAAATATTAATAAAATAATATTTTTAATATAATCACAAGGAATAAAAGTAAATTAAATAATGGGGATAATTGGATAAGGAAAGAAAAGGCGAGCGTTGAACTTTAAAGAGATGAAGCTTTGACTCAGCAGGGTGAAGGGCTCCACCACCGTTAGAATTTTTTTTTTAATAATCTAAGAGTTAATTTAATTTTTTAATCAATTTATAATATAAATTTATTTTGTAAATGTTTCTTTAAATTCAATTTTTTTTAAAAAAAATAACATTTAATTTTTTTTAAATAAATAGATAAAATTGTATTAATTTTCTAAATGATATATATAAACTTTATATTTATAGATATATGAAATATAAACTAATTTTTTTGAATAGTTGAAGTGATAATAAGATAGTATCTATTCAGAATTTTCTTAATCAATTGATAACGCATATACACCCTACAAACACAGTTGCTCGAACATAAAATCTACAAGAAGAACAATATACCTCTTTTATCACTTTAATCACTTGATACAATCAAATAAAATTCTAATTCTAATACACTTTAAGATTGAAAATGGAAAGTTTTTAATAATAATGAGCATCCACACATAATATATATCAAACTGCAATTATTAATATTTTCCTATAATATAACTATAATTAATTGTTTATATTTTTTTATCACATTACAACTTGCAACGTTGATATGCGTTAACATTTGATAGAACCTATCACATCGCCAAAAAGTTATAAACTTAACTTTTCCTTCAATATCCATGTATTTGTGCTTGGAAATTTCTTTATATTTTATGAAACTATCAACATAGCAATCAAAGTGTGAAAATGCTTTTTAATATTAATTTTGGCATGACATTGAACACGTTACGAAATCTTTGATCTAGTTTGAAATTCAATTCTGAAAATTATATATCAATTGAAATATTATTCTTTTAATAAACTGGAGTAATTACAATAGTACTATTTATTCAAAATATTTTTTAATTATTGATAATGTGTGTACACTCTACTGATGTAAGTATTCGAATCGAGAACATCTAGAAAAAATAGCACTCCATTCAATCATGAGATCGCTTAATGAATTCTCTATTAAAATAATGTTCAAGCCATTAGGATTAACGATAGACATGAAATCTGAATATAATAAATTTTAAGTTAATCCGATTTGATCCATGTCCATCCCTAACCAGGATTTGGACGGGAAAATTGGTAGGAAGGTGGGAGAAGAAAACAAAATTTAGGATGATTGGCGAGAAATTCCAAGAAAATAGCGGACGATGGAAAGATACGCTCAACCAAAATTCCTAGGATAAGGATAGGGTGGGTGGATGGAGGCTTAAGTTTATCCACTATTTTCTTTTCTATTAAAATTATTCATTTTAATACAATTAAATTAAAAAAATAAAATAAAAGACTCCTATGTCTCCACTGACTTGTAAAATAATGACGTCAAAACCTGTGGTTTGTTTTATGCATAAAAGATATTTGTATTTATTTTTAATAACGTAGATAAAGAAAGATTTGTGTCGATTTCTATAAATAAGATTAATTTTTTCTTTTTAATTTTGTTTAATTAGCAACAACACTGATTTTGATGTTAGTTGTCAATCGTTAATTTTTTTAATAAACAATTATATTTTTATGACACGTTTTTCTCTGTTTTATGATCGTTTTAATATTTTCTTGTATGATTTTATATGATCTAAAATGATTAATTTCAATGTTATAAAAAAATATATAAATTATGTATTTAGTTTATGATGATAATTATAAATTTTATTATACTTTTGAATATATTCATTCTTTGATAAGAGTAAATAATTTTTTTAAAATATAACATAAATAAAGATTGTCGAGTAATTTGAATTAATTTAAATTAAACGGGTTCCCCCCCAAGTATATGATATTTTTATTATGTCCTTTGATTATGAAAATTTACAAAAGGATCACCTTCCGAATCCAAAACTAACACCAATGAGAACTCTGACCACTTCTCTAACAATATCTCCAACAACATCAGATCTTCCGCCTTCGAAGTCTCCTTCATTTCCAACAAAATATTTCAATATAGGAACGATATTGGTCTTGTTAATTTTTATAAATTCAAAGCACATCCGTGGTAAGTTCAAAATATTCACAATGGCGAGAAGGCATTTTTTTAATACTTTAGGTGACTATAATGTTGTGTCTATTTATAATCTTTATTAACCATGACAATGCACAAATACCATGTGGATGTAACGGTTCAAACCTAGGATCTCAAGAAAAAATAATATTTTTTAAATCATTGAGACCACTTAATAAATTCAACATTTAAATTATAAAAGCAATTAATAACACGATACAAAGAAATATCTATTTAAAAATTGCCCTTTGAGTCTTTTGGTGATCCTCGTATTATTTGATTAATATAATTATTGGTTTAGTTTAAGCAGAAAAAAATACTTTGAAACCGTTAAAATTTTAATTATACCCCTCCAAACCAGACACAAATATCCACCACTAATTTCAGTTGATATTTCCGTTGAAAAAGCAATTATACTTCTTTTAAACGAACGGAGATTAAATTTAATTATTTTAAATATTGAGATCAAAACCAGTTATAAAACTTAAATCGACAAAAACTACAAATATTATTAAAAAAATATATGTTTATCCATGTCGGAGTTTCAGTCTTATCCAAAATCTTATTAATGCATTCCAACCGAACTTACGGTGGGCAGTTCCATATCGTCCATCGAAATAAGGCCACGTGTCTTGATTGTTAACACGTTGGTTCTTGTCGCTTTCACTGCCTAGGGTTTTTTTAGTAATTCACTGCCCTCCTTAAACAATATAATTTATTATACCATATACACAATTTGTGAGAAACAAAATAGAGTATTGTTTTGCTAAATATATTCACTATTAAAAGTTATAAAATAGTTCATTGATTATAAGATCTTGTTTTATTGAGTTTTTCAATTATTAAAAGTTATAAAATGGTCATCTGATTATTTATATGTTTCAAAATCGTTCTTTTTGGTTAAAAAAATAAAGTCCGTCTGAGTTGGACGTTAACCTGATGACTGAGATATGATAAATCATATTTTAATAATGTCTACTGACATCGTCGTTATTTTGAAGCACTGACTCGCCAATATAATATTTCAAGCACTGACTCAACAATATGATATAAACATAGGTTCTATTCACGAAATACAACTAAAACGATTTTGAGATCATATTTTATCATATATCAATCAACATGTTAATGTTTATCTCAAACGACTGCTAATTTTTTTAACGAAAATGTACGAGTTTGAAACACATGAATAATCAGATAACTATTTTGTAACTTTTAATAGTCAGATTACTCAACAAAGCAACACCCTTTAGTCGGGTGATCGTTTTGTAACTTTTAATAGTCAGGAGATTCAACAAAGCAACATCCTATAGTCGAAATATCATTAGTGTACTTTATCCTATTATAAAAGTGTTTTATTTTTTTTTTATTTTTTTGTATTTTTAAATTAAATAATTAAAAATCTTTATTTTGACAATTAATTATAAGATTAATAGATTTTTAAATATAAATTATTTTCTAACTTTTTACCACCCTACCTATAATTAGTTATTAATATATTTTTCATTTCTCAATATATATTTTCTTTTTTTTTTGGATAATTCATTCATATTATTACCCAAAGAGCAAGAGTTGCTACAAAAACAGTGTTCAGATTACAAGATTGCTACAAACAAAAAATAACAACAATCAAATAATACCCCAATTGTTACAAAGAGTAATATTAACAGTATCTAATCTATTAAGGTTTCTACCCCTTAACTGAAAACTAATCGTTTCCTTAATGGCTTGAATCAGATCTTCAATGGTACTTGAACGTTCCTGAAAAATCCTTTTGTTCTTTTCTTCCCATATAGTGTAAATAAGGGCATTGGAAGCAAGCTTCAAAATGTATGTGAGAAGGGATTTACCATTCCATTTAGCAGTAGCCCAAGTAAGGAGATCATTCCATGACAAAAGATGGTTTTGCAAACCATTTAGAGAGAAGACAACAACACATAAAGAACCAGCAGTGGGACTGTAACATCCTTAATAACGGGTTAGTGATCAAATTGTAAAGTTTCAGAATTTGGTAACTAAAGAAGAACAATGGATTAGTTCAATGATTTATTTGGAAATAAATCCTAAAAATTGTTAGTAATTATTAGATGAATTAGAGGGCAAAGTGGTCATTTGAATTGGAAAGGATAAGATAATGATTTATATGGCATAAGCTTGAGAGATTTCTCCAGAAACTCTCTTTTCTTCTTCTTCTTCTTTCTTTCCGCCTTTCCTCCCGTGTCTTCCTAGCAAAGGTAAGTTTTCTGATTAGTTGATTATTTGTTGATTTTAAGTATGAGTTTTGATCATTAGATGATAACTAAGTTTAAGGAAAGCTTAAGTTATCTTAAAATCAAAAGATAAAGGAGTTAGAGAAGATTAAAGATTTGGAGTTCTTGAGTGAAATATTGAAATAGAGTTTATAATAAGAATTGAAAGTTAAATTTGACTTGTCATCAATCTAGTTAAGACATACGAAGTGTTAGAAGTGGAATTAACACATGTTGCAAAATTAATGTAATTCTTGAATCTCATATGATGGATAGGATTTTGATGTTTAAGATGAAATAAATGAGTATAGATTGGTTTAAGTATGTGTACTTGAGTTAAGAATAAAAAAGGGGATGAAACATGAAGGATTTAAGCAAAAAATGGATGAATTTTCGGATTCAAAAAGAGGATTATGGGCAGAGTGCATCGATGCACATTCAATGTGTATCGATGCATCAAGGTTAAATCCCAGAATTTGTTGAAGATGCATCGATGCATAAGGAGTGCATCGATGCACTCATTTAAATTAATTGAACATCGAATGCCATTTATCCATCGATGCATAAGGAGTGCATCGATGCACCTGCTTAAAATACAAACATCGAATAGGATTTATGCACCGATGCATGGGTAGTGCATCGATGCACCCGTTAAGGGATGCATCGATACATGGTGTAGTGCATCGATTCATACCTTCAATAAGAGATGGAAATAACTTTCTTTTAGCCTAAGGATTTATAGCTTGAAATATATCAATTCGTATGCTGATAAGTATCAATGTATTACTATATAGATTTAGAGCGTAATCTCATTCCAGAACAATCGAAGGATTAGAATCGAATCAAAGCAAGGCTAAGGTGAGTGCAATTTAAATTGTACTTATGTATCAAATAAACATTGGCTTGCGATGAGCCAGTGATGGAGTTACTATAGTAAGAAGGGACTTCTAAAGTGTTATTTGAATTGTGATTCTTATGTTTGCATGAGTACATGAAAATGAGTACATATGTTATATGTATTGCATTTGTTACATGAATTGAGTGAATAAATGTTAGTGTGATGAGTTATGTGAACTGGTTTAAGTAGTGGATGTAATTATATACGCTATGTAAAATAAATATGTGATTTAAGACATAAGTTAAAGAAATATATGATATGAGATAAGATAGATGCATGCTATGATATGAGATAAGTTAAATAACATTGATTTATAGGACAATATAAGAATAATATATAAATGAGGAGACATTGATATAAGTGATTATATGAACATGTAAAATAAGTTATACGGAGATGATTTATGAGCTGAAATGAACATCTAATATATGAGTCATATGGTAAAGAGATTTATGAAGCTATAGGAAAATGTTATGGGAACTATGTGATGATAAGTTATGAGAAAATATTTATATAGGTAACAAGCTACGTGAAATTGAATTAAGTAATATATGAAACTAGAATATAATTAATGTGAAATAAGTGATTAGGTAAAACTGTGAGAAGTTATAGGGCATTGTTATTTGAAGTATATGAAAGTATGTATATGGATACCTGTATAAGTTTATATGTTATACTATGTGCTATGTGATGTATATATGAACATATGTGAACAAGATATGACATGCGAGTTTACATGAACAAATGAGGAATGATATAAGTCATGTGAAATGATCTATGTGAATATATGCACTTGTGATACATGTGATATGATATGAAATATATGGTTACACATACATATGGTATGTGACAGAAGAGAAAGAACAAGTGATATGAAAAGTATAAATGATAATGCCCATGTTATATGATATGAGAGCTAGTGGTATAGTTGGCATGCCAAGAGTCGAGGGTATATTAGTCATTTGGGACGTATCCAGTGGTACTTCGGGATATAGTGGTCCTTCGGGACGAATACTGAACAAATGTTCGGTGCCCCATGAGGGAATTTATACGAGCTGTTGTGACAACATTAGTGCACAACCTCAATGTACTCACATACCTTAAGTTCTCACAGGTGTATATGGGCTAATAAAAAGACAATATCAAATTTAATACATATGATGCATATGCTTTTGGTGATATGGAATATGTTCCATGAATTATATGATATTATGTATGTTTAGTTGTGAAATGATAAATGTGTTATATGATATACAGAAATGATAAATACAATATCATATGATAAATGGAGATTTAGATAATGATGGTATATGTACATGTATGTATTTTGATATATGAAATGTACTATGATTTCTATTATATGTTTTATATGCCTCACTAAGTCAACGACTTAGCGTGTGATTGTTTCACATGTAGGTACCAAGAAGAGGAAGAATGATAAAAGTTAAGCAAGACAGGTCAGTTCATCCTTTCCAAAGATCAGATCAAAAAAGCATTGTATAATATGTATTTTAAAATACGGATGATAGTTTGCATGTAAATAAAGATTTGAATTTGATATGCTCTAATTAGTTTTTCTAAAGTCATATGAATATCTTTGATGTAATTTAGTCAGTTGTTTTAATAAAAGATTTAAAATTATTCACTAGTTTGTACAAGTACTGGTTTTGAAAAGTCAATGTGACACCTCAGATTCATATCCGGGTCAGGTACGGGTTGGGGGTGTTACAGGGACATTCGAAGAACAGATGATTCCTAGTTTTCATGGCAGTCAA